AGCGCTGTGCTTGCCTCGCATGCATGAGGCTCTGGGTTCAATTCCCAGCACTACAAAGAAATTAAAAATAAAAAATAAAAGGGCCTGAGGCTGTTGTTCAGTAGTAGAGTGCTTCTGCACCCAATCCCTAGTACCACTAAAACAAAAAGAAAAAGAAATAAAATAATTATCATTTCCAAATAGTACAAATATCTAGTTCCAAATTTCAAGAAAGATTTTTTTTAAAAAACCTGTTAAAGTTATTAAGCTTAGGAATATGGCCAAATTTAAAATGAATTTTTAAATTATCTATCTCAACAATAATGAGTTAGAAACTGTAATAGAAGAATTATAATCACAAAAATTCAATTTTAAAACCATAAAAAACTCCATGAGAAATAGGCATGACTTCTATAAGAAGGGTGTTAACTTTCACTAAAAGACACAAAAGAAACTTTAATAAGCACAGGTGGGAATGGACACCTTCCTGGGAGACACGATATTGTGTCCATTTCCCTCGCTGAGCCAATAAATATTGAACTATTTAATGATACTAATTAACATACCAAGGGGATTTTAAAACAGAAGTCAGTTGTTTATTCTAAAATCGATTTGGAAATGACAGTACCTGAGAACAGCCGAGAAACACAGAAGGAAGGGAGGAGTGACAGGAAGGTGGGTGGGGAGGAGGCCATGAACCTGAGGACGCTGATGACCAGCGCAGGGTGGGCACGGCTCCTGGCCTCACAGACCCCGGGCAGCTCCCTTGCACACTAAGAGGGCGGCCTGCTAAAGGTTCCTGGGGCTCAGGGGCGCCCGCTCAGCTGTGGTGGACACAGGCGTACAACGTCATTGTCCCTCAGCTGGTTGTTCCCTTCTCGGGTTTGTTCTCACCCCACGGCTGTGTGACGGCTGCAGCCGTTTCTAGCCTCTCCCTTAAGTTCCCTAATAATTAGGACTCTCCTGGTCACTCACTGAAACACCCAGCATGAGCTCTGCCGGGGCCTCACAGTCGGCTGAGTCTCGTGCCCAGCCCTGGGGGGCAGCCCGCAGAAGGATGGGGTGCGCAGGCTGGCTCAGCCTGGGTCCTGCCCCTCCAGAGCACAGAGGGTCACAAGGTTACTGCAAGAATGATGAATGCCAGGGGCAGTGACAACCAGGCATCCATCCACACCACGAACCCATGGACCTGGGGGACCCCAACACAGGACAAAGGCTGTAGTTCAAGTAGCACAAGGTGGTGGTTACTCAATTAATAACGTGGGCTAATTGCAGATCCACTTGGAAAAAAAATTATATTTTCTATTTCATGTCATTCACAGGAATCTATAACACATACTATGAAAACATTCAAAGAAAACACAGAATATGGATAAGACACCTTGGGCAGGAAGACCTGCTTACATTGACATGAAATACAAAATGTATGAATTTGACTTTGTCATAACCTACAACCCACAACAACAGATTTTAAAAGTTGCAAGACAAGAGGTGAACTGGAGGGGAAAGCTTGCTACCTACCTACTACGCTATCTACGTAATGATCTATGAAACAGACCACATTAAAAATTAATGCCTAGGTGGACACAGTGGGGCACACCTATACTCCCAGGGATTCAGGAGGCTCGAGGCAGGAGAATTGCAAGTTCAAGGCCAGCCTCGGCAATTAGGGTCTTGCAACTTGGTGAAACTCTGTCTCACTGGGGATGTGGCTCAGTGGTAAATCACCCTGGGTTCAATCTCTAGTACCAAAAAAAAAAAAAAAGGAAGAAGCCTTATCAAAGGGAGAATTGGGGAATAAAGTTGAACAAATTATGTCTGAACATATCACAATTCACTCTAGTTTTATAAATTACTGTAATGCACTAATAAAAAATAGATAGAAGGCAAATAAATAGGGTACAGGGACTGCTGGAGGGAGGAGGTGAGAGAAGGGACAGTACTGGGGACGGGAATGCAAAAACTGCCTTCTGTGCATTCATGAATATGCCAGAATGAACCCCACCCACCACTATATATAACACAGTGTCCTAAAAATACTTAAAAAATGTATAGCCATTATATTGTAAAAACTCAGTGGGAATGGGAAAATCCATAAGAATCACATTCAAATGGCTGATAAATACATAAGAAAATAGTCCAAGCTCTTAGTAATCTGGGAAAGTCATACTTAGATAAAAATAAAATTTTTTTTTCCTTATCAGACTGGCAAAAATTTAGAAGACTAGTGTTTTAGTCAGGATTTTTTGCTGCTGTGACTAAAAGGACCTGAGCAGAACAATTTTAAAGGAGGAAAAGTTTATTTAGGGGTTCACAATTTCAGAGGTCTCAGTCCCTAGACAGCCGGGTCCTTTCCTCGGGGCTGGAAGTGAGGCTGATCATCATGGTGGAAGAGTGTGGCAGAGGGAAGCAGCTCACATGGCGATCAGAGGGCAGAGAGAGAGGGAGGGAGAAAGGGAGGAGGGAGAGGAAAGAGGGAGGGAGAAAGGGAAGAAGGGAAGGAGAGGGAGGGAGATACAAGTGGATATTTGTATCCACTCTCCAAATACAAATATATCCCCCAAAGCCACGCCCCATGCCCACCTCCCCCAGCCACACCCCCTGCCTTCAATGACCCCTCAGTCAATCCCCATCAGGGATTAATTCACTGACTGGGTCAAGACTCTCACCACCCAGACATTCCTCCTCTGAACCTTCTTGCATTGTCTCACCTGTGAGCTTTTGGGGGACACCTCACCTCCAAACAATAACAAGTGACCTCAGAGGAGCTGGGAATAGGGAAGGGGGATTTCATGAGCTGCTGGTCTCTAACTCGGCCGACACCACGCTGAGTTAAAGGAAGCGAGCCGGTGGCTTCGAAAGCACACCCGGCCCTGGACCCCTCCTTGGAAACGTGGGCATGTGGGACAAAGAACCAATGAGAGGAGGTGCCAAGGCACGTCACAGACACTCTATCAGTGTGACTCATGGGAAACAGGCATGTGGGGTGGGAGGGAACCTCTTGAAGGCACACAGGGGTTTGAACAGCACTGTGTCTGAGAACCGCCAGAACTTGCCAGACTATCCCCAAAATGTTTCCTCTTGGGCCTCTCCCCCAATTACCCCAGCTCCCGCATTTCCTAGAGGGTTTGACAGTCTCTCCCCCATCACTGGAAATGGCAGAGAGGCTCCCCACACCCACAGTTGGCTCCAGCAGCCGCCCCTGACTTGAGCAAGGGCTGGGAACCAGAACTCTAGCTGCACAACGGGATGAGTTACTCGGGTCTCGTCGCAGATTGAACAAGAGGAGGACTGGGAAAGAAGTCCAATATAGAGCTGGACACACACGTGCTTAATAAAGAACTTCACGAAATAAGCCAATTGTTGATCCAGAAATGGGTCAGCTCCAGGGTGGACTGAGGCCATGGGAATGGAGAGGGTGGGCTGGAAGGGAGCACGTGTGTCTGATGGTGTTTGTCTGTTTAATTGCAAATGAACACAATCAATACCTTTATTTATTTTTTATGTGGTGCTGAGGATCAAACCCAGGGCCTCACACATGTGAGGCGAGTGCTCTAACACTGAGCCACAGCCCCAAGACCCTGGTGATGTTTTAAAGCTAAAAATAAATACAACAAACAGAATAAAGTGTCGCCATCCTAACAAATCAATAAGATAAAGGGAAAAAAATAGCAAAGGATGCAGATGACTCAAGAAAGAGAAAATATAAATGACTAATAAACATAAAACAACTGTGGACCTCACCACAGCATCCGTTACAAAAATACCAATTCAGCCCAGCGCAGTGGCGCACGCCTGCCATCCCAGCAGCTGGGGAGGCTGAGGCAGGAGAATCGCAAGTTCAAAGCCAGCCTGGGCAACTTAGTGAGGCCCTAAGCAATTCATTGAGACCCTGTCTCTAAATAAAATACAAAATAGGGCTGGAGATGGGGCTCAGCAGTTGCCTGCCCCCCAAGTTCAATCCCTGGTACCAAAAAAAAAAAAAAAAAGATTTTTGCATTGTTGGTAGCTACATTTTATCTCAGAAGTAAAAAGTCTAAATGACCACAAAGTAAATGAAATGCCCTAGAATAAAGGGATTAATTTATCAAAGTTATTAATTATCCACACAATCAAATGTTATGTAACCACGAAAATGTTTCAAAGGCAATTGGGCACATGCCTCTAATCCCAGTGGCTCAGGGGGCTGAGGACGGAGAATCTCAAGTTGGAGGTCAGCATCAGAAATTCAGTGAGATCCTGTCTCAAAATGAAAAATAAAAGGGCTGGGGCTGGGGCTCAGTGGTACAGCATTTGCCTTGCACGTGTGAGGCACTGGGTTCGATCCTCAGCACCACATAAAAACAAATAAATAAAGATACTGTACCAACTACAACTAAAAAAATGAATAAAAAATAAAATAAAAGGGCTGGGTATGTATCTCAGTGGTAAAATGCCCGTTTTCAATCCCTAGTACCAAAAAATAAATAAATAAAACCAGAGAGTAGGGCATAGGAATGGCAACAGAGAATGAAGAGGAAGTGGAGGCTAAAGTCCATCTTCCTTTTTTTTATATTTATCTATTTTTTAGTTGTTGATAGACTTTGATTTTATTTTTTATTTATTCATATGTGGTGCTGAGGATCGAACCCAGTGCCTCACACATACTAGGCAAGCACTCTACCAGTGAGCCCCAGCCCCAGCCCCCACCTTCCTTTAAAGGCCTTAAAGTAAACTTTGTTGCATACGTATTCCCTAGATATGGTAGTTCTTCACACTTTAGTGAGAATTAGCTTGTCATGTCACTTTATGGAAGCGTGACAGCCTGAGGTGTCCAGTGTGAGATGGGAAGGAATGATGAGGGATGGGAAGGAGGGAGAAGGATACCTTAAAAGCCACCTTCTCTAAGATCAGGAGTGCTAATGGCAGTCTCTGCACTCAACTCTGTGCAGCCAGCCTCCCTCTGAAGAGGCAGGTCCCCAACTTGTGTCTCCTCTACAATATCTGTTTCACACTAAAGATAAACCAGCAGCTGGGCCCACTTCACATTTAAGCTGTTTTTAATGCCAAAAAGCTCTGTACAAAAAAAAATAAAATAAAATCACAAATGATTCCTCACAACACCCCTGTGAGGTAGGTAGGCAAGTATTATTCTCCCATTTTACAGATGGGGAAACTGAGGCAGAGAGGTGAAGTGATCGGCCAGTGGTCCCAGCACAGCTGAAAGTCAGGGTCAACCATGAGAACACAGAGATCCCTCCCAGTGTAGCCCCAGTCTCTGACTCCTCAGCTAGACCTTGTCTGCAAACAAATTAAAATTTTTGAGTACATGCAAAATTATAAAACAAATCTGAAAAGGTAGTGAGCAGACATACAGTAGTTTTGCAAAAATAATTCAGCTAAGAGGGTCCCTACTTCCCAACACTGGGCACAAGTAGACAGCTTTGGCCTCCTCTCTCCCTTTCAGATATGGCAGCCAACGAGAAGGGCACCTCCTAATTTTCTGCAGATGGGCATGAGCTCCCCAGAGAGGCCTCCCTGGCCCCATGGCCAGGCGGGAGGACAGGCTCCTCACCGCCCAGGGCCTGGGTTTCAGCAAACACCAGCCTCCAAACAGAGGAGAGGCAATCTCAACCCACGCGGCCCTTTCTGTCACTTCTCCGTGCCGCCTTCAACTAGGCGAGGTAACTCCAGTGACCTGCCTCAGCGGTGTCTGGCCCTTCCTGTGGCTGGGGAGACAGCTCAAGGATCCTCTGTGAGGACGGGCTGGAATCAGGTGACCCTCCTGCATCCTTGGCCCAGTCCCACATTCCACGGTTCACAAGGGCCACCCCGGAGCCTGTTGTGGATCCGAAGTCCTTGGGGCTCCCAGCAGCAGGTGGGGCCATCTTGCACGGGTGGGACAGGAAGGAGGAGCAGAGGGGCCGCAGCCCCAGGCTCTGGCTCTTCCGCACCTGCAGCCCAGGCTGCTGGGCAAACGGAGCAGAACTTCCGGCTGTGCTGGAGACTTCTTCCTCTCCTAAGAGGGATTTTAAGCTGGTTGGGGACCTCTGCCATCCTGCCAGCCCCAGGGGAGTGGGAAGGAGGGAGAGGAAAGGCTCCGGCAGCCCAGCGCCATGCCGTTGTCCTCCCAGTGCCCAGGCTGGGGACAGGCAGGAGACGCAAGAAAACTGATCAATCACCCGGAGCACTGTCCCCTCACCTCGGGCAGCCAGGGACCCACAGCCAGGGCTCAGGCGGCAAAGGGGAGGGTGAAGGGAGCAAGAAAGGAAGGAACCAGCCCCGCAGGGCTCAGAGCCACTGAGAGGGACTGGAGAGGACGGAAGGTGGCGGTTAGCTGTGGGCACCAGAGGGGGGCGCTCCTCGGAAGCCGAGTGCCAGCCAGCCTACAAGGTGTCCACCCTGTAGTTCCCTGGAGGCTCCTCCACGTGCGTCTCGGTTACCAGGAGCGGCTGTGCCGTCTGCATGTCCCACACGAAGCTCTCTCCCAAAAGGCTCCCACCCAGGCTCTCCAGGCAGCCCCCAGGGCCAGTCCCAGCCAGAGATACTCAGAGTCCCCCCAGCCTTGCAGGAGAGGCAGGGAAGCCCCTACAGGAAGTCCCCAGCAGCAGAGGGCTCAGGACCGAGGTTCTGCTCCTGCCACCGGTGTCGCAGCCTCGAGAAGGGCTGGTCCTCCAGGCTCTCCAGCTCAGGGAAGCCCAGCCGGTCCAGGATCTCATAGACGCCGGCCTTCGATGCCACCTGGGGAGGGGCGAGTAGGGCAGTGTGTCACGCCCTCCTCCCCTCACTGGGCCCCGCAGGTCTGTGCACCCCTCTGCTCACTTCCCTGAGCCTTGGCTTCCTCCAAGCAGGTCAGTGGCCTCTACTCGGGAGGGCACAGGAGGACAGAGAGCTGCCCGGGTGGACCTCTGGGCACCCCAGTTGGGCCCAGGGGGAGGCTGGAGAAGGCAGAGGAACCCCGGGGCTGCATGTCGGGCTCCAGGCCTCTGCACCCACAGCTCCCTGGACACTCAGCATGCGGCCCCACTACCGAACACCAGGTCAGGCCCGGGCTAAACACCCAACAGCCTTCCCCTCCTCTCTCCCACCACCCTGGGGACTTAGAGTAAGTGGAATACGTCCTTCTTTCCTCTCCTGGGCAATGCTCACCCCCAGGCACCCTCCCAGGAGAGAGGGGCTGAGGGGTCCTGGGGCTGGAGCCTCGGTCCTGCCCAGACCAGCAGCTCTCCCTCCTCAGCATCCCCTCCCCCACACCCAGGCTCAGCTGGGAGGGGCTCGAGCTTCCTCCCAGCTCCTGAGTCCCAAGCAAAGCCCAAGACAGAAACCTCCTTGTCCCCACCCCCACGCTTCCACCCACCTCAGGGGCTGCAAGAGGAAGCTGGGCCCAGGCACGTCCACAGGGTGGCCCTGGTGTCCCCCCAGCTCTTGCTGACCCAACACCCACCCAAGGGCAGGAGGGCTCATTTCCTGTGCTTCCCCACCGCCATGTCCCAAGGACCACCCAAAGGCCTGTCCTCAGCAGTCCCCCTGACTGCCATATGAGGCTGCAGGGTCTCCCTGCCTCTGCTCCCCCACAGCTCTGAACCTACCAGCACCCCTGCCTGAACCCCCACACCTTCCTACCCACTCTGGCTGGATGGCCAGCAACTCCAGTCCTGAGTCCAAATTAGAGTCACCAGGCCTCTCTGGTGAGGTCTGGTGGCCTGGCTTCCTAGCAGAGGGTAAATGTAGGCTGCTCTGCTGAGGGGGAAGGAGTCCATCTCCTGACCTGGGGGTGCCAAGGCGTGAACTAAGTGTCTGTCCTAACGATGACCCTAAACAAAACTCCTCTGTGCTCGGTCTCCTCCTGAGCACACGTGGTGGGCTTGGGTCTGGCGGATGGCACTCAGTGTACCCAACGCCACCTTCTGAGTGGATGCCAACCACTAAGGTTATTCCCACTTTAGTGTTGGGATGGCAGGCTTGGAGAAGGGACCAATTTGTCCAAGGTCACAGCAGGAAGGAGGTGGCGGCAGGGACACCACAGCCCCACCCTTCACCCTGCAGGGACCAAGCGAGGGCTGAAATGATGATGGGCAATAATGATGTGCCCAAGGCCCTGAGCCAGCCAGCCACGGGCCACCCGGAGCAGGTTCCCAGCCCAGCAGGCGGCCACCGCTGCCTCCCATGGGACCTAACTCACCCCGCAAGTGCAGAAGACCCAGGGTAGGACAGATGACACAGTGCCGTCTCCCCGGGGTAGCCTGCCACCAGGTCCCCACCGGCAGCACACAGGAACAGGAGGACCGGCCTCTCACCTCCCGCATCCACGTGCTGAAGGGCCTCTGCCAGGAGCCGGCCTTCTCCAGGTGGAGGTAGGCGTTGAAGAGGATCAGGTAGACGTAGCGCTCCAGGTACTGCGCACTGCGCAGCCGCAGCCTCCGCGCCTCCTGCTCCTCCTTGGCGGCCTTTGCCTGGAGGAGAGGGCAGGCAGGAATCAGCATGGGCCCCACTGCCCCCCACAAACACGCACGCCCCATGCCCTGAGGCCCGGGCAGCTGGCCTTGCACCCAGCCCTCTCACCCCCCACAGGCTCCACCAAGCCTGCCACAGGTCTCTGATCAGGGAGAGGATGTGGCACAGCAGTTGTCCCTCTACATAGGCCTCAGGGGCCAGAGGGGTGGGGTCTCCCAACAGCTGGGCCACAGCTGGAAGTGCTTCCACTAGAATCAGAGCTGGAGTGGGCCTGCCCAGGGCCTGGGGACCAGCCCAAAGCTCCCAGGGTCCTGTGAGGCAGAGGGCGTGGCCAAGCTGGCTCCTGACCCCACCGGAGGCGCTCAGGGACCCTGGGGATGGAGGCATGGGGGAGGGCAGGGTATGCCAGGAGGAGCGAGGGGACAGGGCCACAAACTGGGCTCTGGCCCCAGTCCTGCCATTTAGGCCTCAGCTCCTGAGATTCCAGGGGAGGGTTTCTCAGTAAGGGGAGGAGCGACAAAGCACCTGGAGCCCACAGAGAGCCACCCGGACCCCTCCCCTGGGGACGCAGGACAGGCAGCAGGCCCTGCCCTCCCCCAGAGGCTCCTGGTCTGGTGGAGGAGGTGGGAGATGACGGCAGAGCAACCACAGCCCCTGAACTTCGGGACAAAGGATGTCGAAGGGGAGGTGGCACCCAGGTGGGTCAGGAAGGACAGCGGGCACATGGAGGCAGGAAGAGGACCCAGAATGTGTACCCACAGGGTGGACAGAGGAGGAGTGGTGGGGGAGAGGTGGGATGGGGAGGGCAAGGCCCAGACAGGAGTGAGGGAGCCAATCCAAGACTGGACCCAGCACACAGGGGGCTGGAGCTGAGTCAGGAGAGGTGGCACTCGCCTGTCATCCCAGCAGCTCAGGAGGCTGAGGCGGGAGGATCGAGAGTTCAGAGCCAGCCTCAGCAACAGCGAGGCCCGAAGCAACTCTGCGAGACCCTGTCTTTAAATCAAATATGAAAAAGGGCTGGGGATGTGGCTCCGCTGCTGAGCGCACCTGGGTTCAACCTCAGGTGGGCCGCAGGTGACTCTGGGGTTGGGAACGACCCCAAGGCTCCCTGAAGGACAGTGGCCGCAGCAGCGGGGACACGTGCCTGCTGTTCTAAGGATGGACTGAGCCTGTGCTCGAGAGTCCATTTTGCATAGAAATCAGGCAATAGACCAAAAAAGGAAAAAAACAATGTTGTTTTCCCTAAACGCAAACCACAGCCACCACAGGACCACCGCCCACCTCCAACGCGGCTACGTCACAGCGCACTGAAGAGGTGAGCACACCCCGCCTCGGGCTGCCTCTACCCTTCCCCAGACGCCACCCCAGGCCTGGGGCCCACCTAGAAGCCCTTTCTTAGAAAGGGGAGGAAGCCACCCACAGCTCCACTGGGCAAGAGCCACTTCAAACCATTTTTGATTAAAAAGCCCAGAAGAAATGTCCTGTGGGCACAGAAAGCTCTAGGTCTCAGCTGGCGGTGGACACAGCCCGCGCCCTCTGTGGCCTGCTCCCACAGGGACAGAGGCCTGCCTGGGCCAGGACTGGGCCTGAGGAGGATTCGGGTGGAGGCGACAGGGGCTCCTTCCGGGTCCTACGGCAAGGGTAGAATTATCCTAAACCCAGAGCTCTGCGCAGAGAGGGTGCCGGACACCCAGGGAGTGAGGGAGTGCTGTGGGCGCATCCTGTGCAGTCACAGGGCTGTGATTTGTACTGTGACCGTCTTCCTATCAGAGCCTTGGTCTCCTTAGAACCACCCACGCTCACGCTGCCTGGGCAGGAGTGGCGACCACCTCCTGGGGATCAAAATAGCACGGCTGTTTTAAGAGTTTTCCAGTTTTCCAGGCTGTCATTAGCTGCACGGCAGCGGGACAAGCTTCCTCGTCTGCCCAGACGGAGCCTAAAATAGAACAGGGTCACCAGGGGCAGCCAGGACTCTGAGCACTCGAAGCCCCTCACCCCTCGGGTCTGCCTGGCCTGAGGCAGCCCAGCACTGCCAAGGTGGCTCTCTTGATGCTCTGCTCTTTGCTGGGCCACCAGAAAGAGGCCCACTGGGCAGGGCTGAGAGCCCCCAGGTTGACACGCTGAGCATGTCACACCCAAATTGAACGACCGGACCCTGACATTTTCTCAGAGCAATCCCATGCAGGAGGTGGGCCTTCCCGTTTTGCAGCTGGGGCTCAGCAAAGTTAAGAAACTGCCCAAAGTCCCAGAGTTCTGCGCTGCAGGGCATGAACAACACCCAAGTTCTTCCTCTGGCCTCTTTACCAGGGCCAAGCCAGCCCCTCTTGCCTACATCCTCTGGGCCTTCTCCCACTCTGTTCCTCCTCCCTGGATTGTCCTTCCTCTGCCTGGCCCTGCCATGTACAGCTTGTCCCTCCGGGCCTGGGGCAGGGCCCCTGAAGCCTGTTCTGAGTCCTCCACCCTGACCCTCCACGGCCCCTCGCTCTCAGCCTGAACCTTTTCACTCATTCCACGGTGAGGACCGCGTACCAAGGCAGGCTCTGCCTCCCCAACCACAAACCCAGCAGACAGGCGCTGGATTATAACCACTGCCCCCTCCAGGGCCAATCTGCAGCAGGTGCTCAGGTGGTCAGTGACACCCCTCCCGAGGTCATCTCCTATCCACAGCACCCAGTAGCACCCAGAATTGGGATCCTAGGCAGATGCTGGGACCCCCAGTTACAGCTCCACGCAGCCGCCTAGGAAGCACCTCTGTGGATATCGGTCAGGCCCCAAGAGACCCCCACGCACGCCCCAGATCTGCCACATCCACAATTTGCCCATCTTAGTGGCAACGATGACCTCTCAGCAGCTGGGGTTGAGTCGAGACCCCTCCTTCCCATCTCCCCCGGCCCCACATCCACAGTCAGGGAAGCCCACCGGCTCCACTTTGAGAAGTTCCCAAGGCAGCCTGCCTCTCGCTGTCCTGGTCCATGTCAGCCCCCGCCTGGCCACCCTGTACCGACTCTACTCCGTTGTCTATTCTCAACACGCTGAGCGAGCATCTCTGCTCCAAACCCCACAACGGCTCTCCCCTGGTTCCCCCTGTGCTGGAAGCTGGAAGCCCACACAAGGTCTGCCTTCTGGCCCTGAACCCTCTGACCTCCTCCCCTGCCCCCCGGCTCCCTCGCTCTGCCCCTTAAAATCACCAGGCTGCTCCTGCCTCAGGTCCTCTGCACATGCTCTATCCTCTCCCTGGAATGCTGTTCCCTCAGATGGTGGCAGGGCTGCACCCTCACCTCCTCCCAGTCTGTCCAAATGCCACTGTGGTTGAGCCCTGTCTGCCCACCCTATACAAAACTGCAATCCCCTTATCCCACCCCTCCCCCTCTCCTCACTGCTTCAGCTCCCGCTGTCCACCATGCCACAAGTCTCCCTCCTTGGAGCACAGACTCCCCAAGGGAGAGACTGTCTTCTGTCTGTGTGGCATTCCAGCACCCAGCAGTACTGACACTTGGAAGGTATGTGCTAAATGCTCAGTCGATGGCCAACTAGGGCTGGGTCTCGTGTCTCCGAGAATCCCAGCCTCGCAGGGTGCTCAGCACGGCCCACACCACCCCTCTGCTTTCCAGAACAGGCGGAGGTCAGGGGGTGCAGCCCTGCCATGGCCACCTGGAGAGCCGGCAGCAGAGCCCACGCAGGAGCCACAGCCTCCTGCCCACGCTGGCCTGGCCAGAGGCGGGCCAAGCTCAGGCTCGAGGAAGCAGGAAGGCCAGCCAGCGAGGCCAGGCCCAGGTCCGTGTCGACAGCCAGACTCTCCCTTCCCCACCCCGGAGCTCCCCCGTCCCCCACTTCACCTCCTGAGTGGGAGGACACATGAGCTGGTGGCCTCTGCTCCCAGCCCTCAGAAATGGCCAGGGCTACAGGGCAGGTCCCCACCCTTCCCCCAGGACAAGGCCAGCCTCTCCTCGTCGGGCGAGCCCCCCCACTCCATCAGCCCTGTCTCTGGGGGCTTCCTCTGGCACCGCCTGGCACCGGGGCCTGAAGCACAGGAGCTTTCTGTACCTGGGCCCTGGGGGGAGAACGTGGCCTCAGCGCATGTGGGCATGGTTTTCCAAAGACACCATATTCTATTTCTTACGGACAGTGAAGCCACCGATCTGGTGCCAGGCCTCTCCGCCTGCTGTCCCCAGAGCACCCCCGGCCAGGCACAGGGCTCCACCCAACACATGATGCCCACTCCCCATGCATGACCCCCCAGTGAGCCTGAGGTTGGGCACCCTGCCCACACGCCCTTACCCACTCCCACTTCACACAGCGTCAGGGCTGGTCCTCACCACCGCTCTTCACGGTGAAAGAGCAGGGCTAACGACCCCAGGTGACAGAGGGGAAACCAGGACCAGAGGCCAAAGCAACATGCCAAGGCTGCTCAGGGAGTCACCGGCAGAGCTGGGCCCGGAACCCAGGTTTCCAACCACCCCCAGGGCACTTCTCGTCCCTGGAGAAGAACCCCGTCTTGGACGACCAACAGCAGGGACCAAGAAAGCACCAGGCAGCCCAGGTCTCCAACGCCCTGACCGACCTTCCACCCGCTCCCTGCAGACACCTCTGAAGCCCCGGCTGGCGCCAGGAAGGTCCTGGAACCAGGCTAGGGGAGGCTGCCTCTGCAGCAGAAGGGACAGCAAGTGCAGAGGAGGGTCTTCCTGGGTGGGGGTTGGACCCGGGGCCCCAGGGGATGCTGGAGTGGAGTCTAGACCCCTCCAATCCCCAGCAGGAGGGGACGCTCTGGCTCAGCCCAAGACGGGAAGGCAGGGAAGCCAGAGGGCTCGCAGCCCACGCCCTGCACCCGCGTGCAGGAGCACACATGTGCGTATACACGCGCACACACACACACGAGCGCGCCCACAGATTCTGTTCCAGCGGCTGCCCTGACCCACTGGCTCTGTCCTGGGCCGAGTGGGCAAGCCCAGGAAGCAGCCTTTCTTCTGTCATGTTTGGTGGGACCCTCACAGCACTCCAG